CCCTGCAACTCCCTCCTCCAATCGAGCCATGAACTCTCCACGAGCCACTGGAGGATGCGGGAGGTCGCATCCGAGCCTTGTTACTCGACGCAGAGGCCGACTTTCAAACTCGATCAAACGTTCCCCGCGAAAAATTAAAACAAGATTTCACACACAACCTGCACTTCTTTTACTTTTAAACAATAATTATTAGAATAAATAATTTTATTTTAGGAATAGAAATACACGAATTTCTTTTTAATAATTTCTTTCATTTAATATACCAAGATAAATAGAGATAAATATATAATAAGAGATGTACAATTTCTAAATATACCTAAAAAAAAATGTTTGTTGAGGAAAATCACGTTTATATAAAGTGTTCCCGAAAAATTAAAACAAGATTTCACACACAACTTCTTTTACTTTTAAAGTTAACAACAGCAATAAATAATTTTATTTTAGGAATAGAAATACACGAATTTCTTATTTTACAATACATTTAATATACCAAGAAACGATAATCAGAGATAAATATATAATAAGAGATGTACAATTTCTAAATATACCTAAAAAAAAATGTTTGTTGAGGAAAATCACGTTTATATAAAATGTTCCCGAAAAATTAAAACAAGATTTCACATATAACTTCTTTTACTTTTAAACTTAACAACAGCAATAAATAATTTTATTTTAGGAATAGAAATACATGAATTTCTTATTTTACAATTAATATACCAAGAAACGATAAATAGAGATAAATATATAATAAGAGATGTACAATTTCTAAATATACCTAAAAAAAAATGTTTGTTGAGGAAAATCACGTTTACGTGAAAAAGCCAACGCAGAAGCCGACTTGATGAAATGTTCTCGAAAAATTAAAACAAGATTTTACACACTTCTTTTACTTTTAAACTTAACAACAGGAATAAATAATTTTACTTTAGGAATAGAAATACACGAATTTTTTATTCTATAATACATTTAACATACCAAAAAACGATAAACAGAGATAAATATATAACAAGAGATGTAGAATTTCCAAATATACCTAAAAAAAAAATTTGTTAAGGATAAATCACGTTTACGTGAAAAAGCCGTGATGGCCGGTAAAAATGCCAACGTCAGAAACTCCCTGCCCCGGAAATATCCTCTGGCTATTGCTTCCGCGGTTCTACTTCATCAGAAAGAGAGAGAAAAAAAAAAGGGTTCATGGAAGGCGGCCACGAGCCCAGGACTAGAATCTGCGGTAGAACCAGCACTGGGGGAGGGAGGGGTTGGGAATA